GAGGAGGAGGAGGCAGAAACGGATATGGATGTGGTGGAGACAGAGCAAGACACAAAAATCCGGACACTCTGTTTCTCAAAATCCCCTGGTGTGTGATGCATCCAGTAATTGTCTGAATGAAAGCATGGATGAGGTGGTATTTTTGTGCAGGTTTTTTGCATTTTGGTCATTGCAAGTAAAGCCGTCAGTGAGTAGCTCAGTCAAATGGCCAGGTAGAACGATGGTTAAATAAATTCAAAGACAGATGAAATAGTGGAACGAAAGTCAAACACGTATGTTCTACCTAGGTATTACGTCTTTTTTGTATTCAGGGAAGTCTCGAGGCGCTACATTGGTAGCAGCGGAAAGAGAACTCTATCCTACAGAATAACTCTTCTGTTTTCTACTGATGGATGAAAAATCTCAGTGGGGCGGAAGAAGTGCGTATTCCATGGATGAGAGGATAAGTGGCGACTCCAAACAGAGGGGCTAAAAATGATGTATACTTTCGGCAACTACTCCAGACCCGTGATCTATAGGAAAGTTATTAACAACGAAAATGTCATTACCAATGAATTAGCAGAAAAAGTTTTGTCAAGTAGTTGTCTGCTGTACTTGCATGAAGGCACCCACACCGTAAATTAATGACACCTCCTTCAATTCTCTGCTAGCTGGATAGAAATCAGATGGATTTGACTTAACAGCTCTGATGCGTAAACAACGTGGCAAGGTAGAACAGACTGGAAACCTTACCCCAAAAAGCTGCGTTAAATTTCTTCATTTCTTATACAAATCTGCTCTTATGCCAGTGATCCTACGTCTAGCTGTGGAAATGCGTGATAGTTAGTGCAGTTCTCCGTCCCCGAATCCAGTTTCTGTACAGACAGAATCTACAGATCCAGCAGAATTGCCAAGAGGAATCAGTGATGTTGCGGTCAGGCATCTCCTCGATTACACGAGAACCCGATGACTGGCACGGTTGAAGAGTGAGTGTTTCCCCTACAGCACTGGTTATGTTGTGATGGCTGATGTAGGAGAGAGACTAAGCGGGTCGTCAGGGATACCGCTGAAAAGAGGAGAGTGGCTAGGTAATACGTTGGTTGTTTGTTTAACTCCCAGTGTTGGTAAAGAGCCACTCTGTGTTTTAGCCACTGTACCTATGCTGGGTGGGCAAGCTTCTAAGCCAAGCTAGTATTTTCAGGCCCTATTGTGTGCTAGATAGATTTATTCTGTCAGAGTATCATATCTCCTTTCCTCTACGGGGAAGTCTCAGGAAGCTGCAATTAATATATCAAAGAAATTCCGCCAATTTAAAAATCTAATCTCTTAATAAGGACTTTTTAGGGGATGGAACACAGCCTTAGTGCGCTATAAAGGAGTCAACACAGTAGATTTTATCCTTTGTTTAAAATAACCTGTCATGTCAGCGCCGCCGGTGTATTTACAGGTGCCTCTGCGGTTTACTCAAGTTGTTGGATTGTGTGCTATGGGTAGAGGTGGAAGCACGTGCATTACGGCGTTGTTAAAGGGTAGGAAAATCGTGTTTATCATTATTAAGCACAAAGGTGTTAACTATTGTGATGTATCACCCTATATGCAGACCAAACCATAGCTATAACACCTGCGCGGGTGGTTTGCCGATTTGTTAAACTGCATCTGTCTCATTACGTGCTCCTTGATCAGTAAATACAGTGAAGAAGACGTGTGGCGGAATATTGGAGGATGCTTAAAAAGGAAAGTGATAGTTTATGCAATTTCCTTATAGTCTATGCGAAAATTCGACGGTGTCCGGCTGTGGCCACCGGATGTGCTTTCCATTGCCAGGTGCACTTTTATGGGGAAGGTTGTTTTTGGTCTATTTCTCGTAGTAATTGGTTTCTGTTCTTGCACTTCTAGTGATAATGAAAACTTCGATGACAGTGCCAACTGAGCCATGGAAAAGAGCAGGGAAGCGGTGATGAGCTTGTGTTTTCACCTCTACATTCTCTGGCACTGATTTTGTCACCGATGCTTCTGACGTAGGCGATGGCGTGACAGTGGTTGGATGTGACGACATTATATGAGAGTATGCCGCCTGGGTGGGTGACAGCTGTCACCTCCGCCTGCAAGCCCATATCTGTCAGTGGGCTGACAACGAGGTAGTGACATAGGCTATACTCGGAATCCGTTGTCGCCAATTCATTGCTCCAGTAGCAATCCGATTTCCTCGCATTTGCATTTGGTCGACCCCGTTGTGCCGGTTGTGGGAGTGTCTGCTTGAAAGACTATTCTTGGATTGGCCTCCTAAGAGGAGATGTGAAGATTAGTTACTATGTTGTTGGATTCAATGGAGCAAAAACATGTGGCTGAGCTGGCAGGACCCAAGTCGTGGAAAGAGCACAATGGCTATGATAGAATTTGAATGGAGAATGGTACAATGCTAACTTGCACTTGCGGAAAGACTGAAGGTCTGCTAGGAGGAAAGGAAAGAATTGAACTAAACGAGGAGGGGACGAATAAATACAGGCGGCAACCCTTATATGAGAGTGTTAAAGAGAAGAGCAGGAGGGAGGAGAAAGAGTAGATCAACTGCGCTAGTTCGCCAACATGTCCATACCCCTGTGAGGATGTGAAATGAGAAGCACAGCAATCGCTTTACGTGTGGTGAGTTTTTAGTAGATTTTTTTGCATAGGAGGAGAGTTTAGGAAGACACAAATATCGCCCAACGTATTTATTAAGCGGTCACTTACTTTACTCGGGCTATTTCTGCTTTTTCTCAAATTAAACGTCTATCCCTCTTGTATCCCCAATGGGCAAATAAAATAATCTGTTGACTTGTTTACATTGACTCACTGCTTTTTCTCCCACTCACCTCCACGACCTTCTATCAATCCGCGAGTTTGTGCAACCTTGTGCAATCGCCATGCTCTCGTGTTTCGTATTTTTTTTCTTTTGATCGCTACTATTGAATGTCATCACTCGCTCCTACGTACTTCGGGTTAGCTGGGATTCCTGACTACTTGGGTGGAAGCATCTGCGGATTGATCCATGACGGGAGCATTGAAGATGACGACAGCAGTGAGGAGTTGTAAGACTTGATGGGAGTTGGAGGGGGTATGAAGTACCTTTTCCTGCCCTCCAAAGAAGTCGCGATCTAGCAGGCGACAACTAGTACACGGGTACCACATCATAGTGGTTCAAGCGGAGAGTCAGTAATGCCTCCCTGACTTAGTTCATAGCGGTGCTATTGGCAGATTCAAAAGAGTTGTTTCGGTACCATAATGTTAACGTCAGTGTCATTGCTATGTGGACACCCTGAAGTGTCATCATATGTGTTCGTCTGTGCAATATCGAAGCAGAATGTGGTGCAGACAAATGGCTTTCTGGGGACAACCATTCTTGATCCAGATTGAGCAGAGGGAAGATTATGGACCTTTGAGAACGAATGTGGGCGATGACACATGCCAACTTCTTCTGAGCCATGATGAGGTAGGGATTCTGTCCGTGAAGGGTAAGTTGGTCGACGTGTGCAAGATGCTTGCCTCCAGTCCCAATGACAAGGGGATGGGGTGAGGTGTGAAGTGCAATGAGATGGGTAGGTGGATGTCGTTTATGTTTATCATAATGTAAGCTGTGATATTGTGTGTTAGTCCTGCTGGCTGTGATAGAGAAAACGTGGAATGTAATTTAGACAGGAGGGGAAGACACAAGACTTCGTGACAGTTTGAACTCGCTCCGTTTCTGATTTTTTCCTCCCATTGATGAGTTTTTTTTGCGGTCGCCTTCTACCACCAAATTGTAAATGATTCTTACTTTGCCATTGGAATTATATGCTGTTTGTTGCCACATCTGTCACCGCTGCCGCCCCTATGCATTCACCTACGGATGGCAGTACCCCGCCTCTTTTCACTGCCATCAATTTAGTTCTCCAAGACTTCCTTGAAGGAGGAAGAATACACAATACTGGAGCAGAATGCACATAATCAACATGCAGTAGGTGTTGGGGCTACTGACATGGCCTAGAGACCAGCCCAAGCGGTGAAGGTTTCATACGAGAGACACGAGGTGGCCATTTACTATGACCGAGAGCTGGACAAACAGCGCACCGCATTGACGCTAGACAGAAGAGTCCAAAAGCAGACCCACGCTGAATGGGCAAGCACTCAAGCAGATAGAAGCAGACAGCACAAGCAGGTCCCTGTACCGCCATTGTGGTGACCAGATTGCAAGAACTGAAAAAATTCGTCATTAAAATTGACCTAGTTCTGCTGCATCCTGTTGCGTTTTTGAGCAAATAACTTGTGATGAAATGCATTCGTGTCTGTTTTTACATAAACGCAAGGAATTTTTTGTTTCTATCCAAAAAGTGGGATGAAATAGTCATACACGAATGCGCAGCCTCACTCCAGGAATGCCTTCCAGCTTTTTTTGTGCTCGCCTGAAGGAAATTCTTAAAGATTAATTTAGATGTACACATTCGTCCTCGAATGGATGGAGAACAGAGTACTGACTACTTCCTATGCGACCAAATTATGAACGATTATCTTGATACTAGGGCACCGGAAAGCGGCATCGAATGAATTGTAAATTGACAGTCTCGGGGCTCTACAAGGGAATCCGTTAATCGTATAGGCAATGAAGGCGAGAAAAAATTCCTAAACAGTAAACCTACTTTTAGATACTTAGTAGCATCTTTTAAACATTTGCGCAATTAACGTATAAAGTCGGTGTACTGCGAGCAGTCATTATGCTCTCACATTTTTTTTCTCATCAAATACCATTATCTGGTTTGCACAACGCAATTGGGGCTGTAAGACAAACATTCTCGCAGCATCCGTACTGGTCATTGAATTTCCACCTGTCAGAGGAAGCAATTAATCACAACGTCACTGATTTCACTTGGCCATTCAACTGGATCAGCTGTTTCGTCCTGCACGGGAAGTGGATTCGGGGAAGAGGAACTCTGCTGGACATTACGCGCGTTCATAACTGGGCGTAGGGAACACTTGCCCAAAAGCAGACTAAGTACGGGGCAGGGTTTTGTGTCAGTTCCTCCTTTCCAAATTGCTCTCATTTCAGGGCTGTCCAGTTACACATCCACCAGGGATCTAGTCAGTTAATAGAGACGTGAAGGGGGTATCGCAAGTTTACATTTTTGATATATATGCACAATTACGACAGGCAACTCCGTAATTCGACTTTCCCGATGGTTCATCACTGGTGCTGCCTTCGCTCTTAATAGCATTCCCGAAGAATATGGGCCTGGAGTAGTTGCGGAAGGTAGACGTCACTTTCAGCCCTTCCGTTATGGGTCATCATCAATTCTCCATCCATGGTATGTTCACTTCTTCCACATCGCTGAGATTTATCATCAAGTAGTAGAGACTAGGAGAGATGGTTGTTAAGATCGGGTTCGCATTCTGCCGGCATTGTTGCTACTGACACGACGAGCATACAATAACGATGACATAAACTGGCTCTTCATTAAAACCGAGAGTTAAATAAAAATGTGATCAAGTCCATCTCGGGGGAAACACTATTGACAGAACTAAACCCTTAACTCTCTTTGAGGTGATTACGGTGCTTAATCACCATCCTACATGTGGTGAATGCTACTGTTATGCTTTCTTTCGCCTTCCAGGAAGTTTCTAAATGCCGCATTGGCGTCAGCGGAAAACAAAACCCATGTCTCAGAACATCTATCCTACTTTCTACTGCTGGATGATGGAGCTTGGAGAAATGCATGTGCTACGGATGAGAGAATCGGCGGTGACTTCAAACAGAAGGACTGAAGATGACGTTTACATTTGGCAACTGCTCTAGTTCTGTGTTCTGAAGAAAAGATTTTAACAACAGAAGCGGCACTAGCCGTGATTCATCTGAAACAGTGTCATCACGGAGTTGCCTGCCGTACCTGTATAAAGATATTGACATTGCGAAGTCGTGATATCGCCTCCACCCTTCTACTAGGTGGATGGAACCGAGTTGGATGTGGCTGGGCAGCTGGGAGGTGTGAACAGCGTGGCAAGCAGGAACAGGCACGAAAGTCTGCCCCCACAAAAACTGCATAAATCCGCTTTCATGTCAGTGTTGCTACTTCAAGCTGTGAACATGCGCGGTAGCCAGCCCAATTCCTCGTCCCCGAATCCAGTTTCCATGCGGGCCGAAGCTGCAAATTCAGTTGAAGTGTTGAGTGAAATCAGTGCCATTCTGGCCAGGTATCTCCTCAGATGCATAGAAATATGATGACTGATGCAGGTGGCTGGTGGATGCAGTACTGACTACGTTGTAATAGCTGACAGCGGGAAGCGCGCCGGGGTTGGCGCTCAAAAGGGGACAGAGAGGCAATGTAATACTTTTTTGCAATTAAGTTTTGATTATACCTTCGTTGACTGGATTGGCCTCTGGAGTAGGAACATATTCTGCCCGAGTGGTATGTCTTCCTTCGTCTTCAGGTTAGTCTTGAAGCACTACAAAATATTCTCAAAAGGCCTTAATTTTCATACCAGGAATCAAGAAGGTAAGCTATGCTTCACTTTTGAACAAGTTGATTTTATTACATGATAATGAATTTGCCTAATGAATCAAATAAGTAAATGTTAAACAAATACCAAATTTGTTTATGCGTTTTGATTTAGAAGGGAATCAGCACACCCCTTCACATTATGCTGCTACACCTCTGCCCCACCGGGCCAACTGATTCTATTCTACTTCTGCATTCTGGAATATTGTGTAGTTCCACTTGTTTTATTTATGAGATAATTTGTTTGAGTTAGCTTGACGAGGACTCATTTGCCGTATTATTTTGTCAAGTGGTCCCACACAAACCTTGCAGAAATCACTTTGGACTAATTCGATGTCAGGGGGACGGGGTGTTTTGCAAAGTTTTTAAGTAGTCATGAAACAGGTTGGAACCGCATCGTAGCGCCGCCGCTATCCTGGTCTTCTTTGTCTCGTGTGTTGCACGACAAGTTTTGCCGCAGTGGTCAATGCCAAAAATCTTACCTTTCCAAATGTCACGCAGACACAACAACCAGCCGGCGTCTCCAAATATACGTACATCCACTCTCGCAAAAATTGGCGATGTCCACCATTCTACCTGCCAACAATACCGTCTCATGTAATCTTGACGCCATGCGATGGAAATGCCGCCTCTTTCTTTGTACTCTGTAGCTTATTACTTTAAGGCTACACGCAGTTTTGTAAGCAAAAGCGATTACACCAAAGTGGAATTACAAAAATGAACGCATTTGAGATCACCAGTAGTGGCTATTGCTCATATATCGCTGTTTAACATCATCTGAATTCGGTAATTTTTAGGGTTTCTGTTTATAATTCGGTAAATTATACAAGTATTTCTTTTTATTGCTTTTAAAAAGGATGATAAAGACTTATTGTTACAAAAAGTATACATTGTTGTAAAAAAATGCAAGCTATCATCACAAAAACAATATATAATTGACTAGTGACTATGTTACTTAAATTATAATTCAGCGAACATTAACAGCCACATCAGCGCAGCTGAAGGACTTAATTTCATCTTTTGGCAAATTTAATGAAACACAATGCCTGCAAATAACCATCTTCGACCCTTGAGTGTAAACTATATGACACAATTACTCCTAGGAAGGTTAGGTGGCGGTTCAGAAAAGCAACATTGATGAGAGAATGCATTTGTCCGACAACAAAATAAGATTATACACTTTCTGTAGACGTACATTTCATCCAGCTTAACGAAAAAAGAGCGTCGAACACTTATGGCAAATGAAACACTGAGATAAATCACTTGAGGTGTAGGGGGAACTCGGTGAAGCCTTACACCCGTCTATCGCCCCCTCCTCCCTCCTGCTCCAAGGCGCGCCATCAGATCATGAACTTCTAAAATACGTTAAAATTTTCTCCCACTTGCTGACAGGTTTCAGTTGAGGCTTATCTAAACTGGAAGAGGAGAATTAAGGGTGATATGAGTGAGGTAGAAAGTGGAGAGCTTAAGTAAAGCCACAACTCCCTCATGTGGCTTTACGTTGATTGGAAGATCTTGCCTGTTGTACACAAGGAGGAGATTAAAATGCAGTAGGATGATGATGAAGGGTCATCGTATGCATTCCGACACATTTTTGTACCCCCAGAGATGCCAAAGTTGACGAATACCTGCGTTTAGCCGTATCTAACACAGACAATTTATGGTTATATAAAGTGAGCAAATAATGTTGAAATGCTTAACAGGCCTTACTGACCGGCTTGCGCGTTACTTTCGGTAACTGGCGAAAGATTCAGCTTGATGTTAAGCATTAATTCAGTCTGGCTGGATATGGAAACAGTAATGTATCAGATTAGCAGAACTGCGCCAAAGTGGGAAGTAAAATTATGGAGCATGATTTAAAAGTAAATGTTATTAAAACTTAGAAGGTTATATCTACTATAAAGCTTCGAGTCTTTCTAAAGCCCAAAGAAGACACAATACTAGGCAGCATACTTCAATTCGACATACAGTAGGACTTGGAGCTGCTGACGCGGTCCAGAGACCAGCCCACCCGGCGAAGGTACACCGGCCGAGACACCAAGTGCCCTTTTACCATGACTGAAGTGCCAACAAACAGGTAACTTTTACATTGATCCTCTCTGTTTCGAGCGTCGTCCTCAGTACTCATCTTGATCAATGTCCGATGGCAGCCATCACAAGGTAGTCGGTGCTGCAGGGAAAGCACCCACGCGTCAACCGCGTCAGTCATCAAATTTCCATGCAATGAGGAGATACTTGACCGCTACGTCACTGCAGTTTTGTCCTGCATGGAAAGTGGATTCGGAGACGGGCAATTGTGCCAACCATCATGCGTTTCCACAGCTTGTCGTAGGAACACTGGATGACGGGACTTAACGCAGCCTTCTTGGGTATAGGGTTTCGCATCTACTATTCATTGTCACTTTATTCTAACCTGAGAGCGGCCCAGAAGTATATCCAACTGGTTTCCATCCAGCTAGTAGGGAGGCGTAGGAGGCATTGCAAGGTCACATTGTTGATATCTTCATACAGTTGCGGTAGACAATTGCGCAACGTCCAGTGCCGGCTTCGTTTCTAATAACTTTCCTACAGACTACGGGACTATGGCAGACGCCGAATGTAGACGTCAGTTCCAGCCCTTCTGTTTGGAGTCGTCGCCGATTCCACCATTCATAGCATAGGTACTTCCTTCGCCCGGCAAAGGTTTATCAACCATCAGTGAAAATGGGGATATATGTCCTTTGGAATCGGGGTTCACTTTTAGCTACCACTAATTTACCGCCCTGAGACTTCACTAAAGACGGAGGAAGACAGTACTCGGGCAGAACGCATATATTCAACACTTTGTATGGTCTGGTACTACTTGTATTGCCCAGAGGTGAGCAAATCCGGCGAAGGTACAACGGCCGGGGGCACAAGTTTGCCCTTTACCACAACGGAGAGGTAAGCAACCAACAGCCTACACCAGTCTTGTGAGTGCCTAATGATAATGCAAGAAATTATAACAATAGCAATTTAAAAAAAATCTAGGTGATGCGGAGAATATGAGTTTCACTTTAATATGTAGTATGAAGAAAAGACCAAATTTGTTTTAGGCACCGAAGTGCATAATTTGGAAAAGGAGCCTTGTTTTCGTCGGGAAAAATGGCCTTGCACCGGATGGGGAAAATAAATGCACTTCATTCTTGATAACGTGTCATTTGTCATCCACCTGATCCGGCTAAGAATGAAATTACTGTCCATTTTTCATGTGCAAGCTATAATCTTCACGTCACTGCATTCTGTTTGTTTTCACCTAACCTCTTCATTTTACTCAATGAATTGGAAATGTGAACAAGGCGTTGTTCATTAAAATATCAAAGCTTAAATTCTACATTAAAATTCTTAACCGTCTTCAAACTTGGGTGAAGTGTTTACAAATCGGAAGTGATATACTTGCCTTGAAGCACTTCCATCACGCACCTAAAAACCCACTTCTGCCACGTGTTCTGTTGAGGCGCTTCCAAGGTGAGGTGACACGAGCCGCTCTGAGACGCATAACAATGGGTGAGGCGCTGGCACACTCTGTTATGGTCACTTCAAAGTGATGTGTGGATCCACTGCAAGACCATCTCTCAAATGGCTTTAATTTTTCCAAGTCAAAGCATAGAAAACCTTCCCTGAGTTCTGTTCTTCCTTCTTTCTGTCTTTGCATGCCAGCACCATTTCTGTCAGGGCAGCTACTTGGAAAATTCGTTCAAGTTCCATGGTACCGCACACACACCCATTGGCTCGCTTGAATTCCTTTTCATGGAATGCGCCGCCAGATAACCACTTCAAAGTAGCCCTTTTTAAGCAGTCTGTTTGACTTTGTAGTAAAAAGCTATGCTTTGGATTTCAATTCTAACATAGCCGAATTGAATCTACCTGTGAAAGTAGTGCAATGTCATCCAGAGAAGTTAATTCCCATGGTTCGTGGTTGGTAGGAGCTGGCTCAGTGTAATCGCCTACAAAGGCGGTCATTAATCGTATGTACACTTAAAAATGCATTTAAGAGAAGAAGGATTGTCTCCTCTGTCATGTCTTTTGACTAGTTGCATCAATAGTTTGCATCTCTTCGTCAAGCAAAATGCTAATAGTCTGCAGCCTTCTGCTTTTTAATCTCAATACCAACATTTACACACTCGTGTTTAATTTTAAGACCCGTCTTTCCCCAATCAAAACACAATAAACACAGGTAAAATTTTCTAATGTCGGGATTTTGAAATCCCTTGGGCATTATTGAGGGGCGCAAGTAAATGTAAAACCCATTCTATCAGTAGAGAAAGTCTCTCCTTATTTCAGTAGACCGCCTAGATGCAGTTCCCGTGGAGAGGCAAGAGTCGACTTTCTTTTCGACTTTAGTACTACTTGGGATTTGAAATAAGCGGCCTTTGTGTGGCAGGTGGATTAGGATGGACTTACTTTCCCCCCACCTTAACCAGTCAAATGTAAAATATTATCTGGTATGAAGAGATTTGTGGATTGAATTTGTACTACCCATCGCATCACTTAAAACACGAACTGATCTTAATTTTGTGTAGTACGTTGATTGTTTGTTTACCTCCCGGTTTTAATGAAGGGGGAATTAGGGGGCTAATCCCTAGCCTTGTTAGTAGCTCCAACCCCTTCTGACCGAGTGTTATGTCTTCAATTCATCTTCAGAAAAGTCTGCAGGCGCCTAATTGGTGGTAGTGGAATGCAAATCCGTCCTTCACGGAAGTCTCAAGGCGCTGCATTGGCGGCACCGGAAAGCAAACCCCATCTTTCTGGCCATGCATCCTTATTTCTACTGCAGGGATTTCAACTTTGTCGGGGTGGAAGAAGTTTATGATGCAAAGATGGGACAATCGGTAGCAACCACAGTGAAAGAGTTAAAATTGACATTCACCTTGGGTGAGTGCTCCAATTCCATGTTCCGCAGGAAGGCTACTGACAAGGGAAGCGATACTAGCCGTGAACCAGCTGGAAAAGTTTCGTCCTATGGGTGCCTATCATACCTATAGGAAGATATTGACAATGCGAGCTCGCGATACCTCCTTCACCTCTCCACTAGCTGGAAAGAACCAAGATGGATATGAATAAACAGCTCGGAAGAGAAAATAAAGTGGCAAGGAGGAATAGACTTATAACCGTCCCCCCACAGAACGGCATTAAAATCCCTCCTCCCTAACACAAATCTGCTTTTAGGTCAGTGTTCCTACCTCCAGTTATAGACACACGTGATGACCAGCATATTCCTCGATATCTTCACATAAGTACGGTAGGTAACTCTGCAGAACACGCGACTAGGGTCATTACCGAGGAGAAATATCATTTTCAGCCCTTCTGCTTGAGGTCTTCACTGATTTTCGCATCCGTAGCATATACACTTCTTCCGACCCTGTAAAGTCTATCACCCAGCAGTGGAAGTGAGGATAGTTGTCCTTTAAGATCGGGTTCGCTTTCCACAGACACCAATGTGGCGCCCTGAGACTTCTCCGAAGAGGAAGGAAGATATAATACGCTGAACAGAACGTATATATTCAACATGGTGAAGGGGTAGGGGCTACTGGCATGACGAAGGTACAATGGCCTCGACACCAAGTGGTCCACTACCAAAACCGAGAGTTTGACAATTCAAGAATTACGAAATTGTTTAGGTGCCTGCATTGGGACAATTCAGTCTTATCCAGACCACTGACATTACCACGTGCTGGCGATTCTTGAATGTCATTTAAATATTCTTAAGCGGCATTCTTTACTGTTTCTCATTTTTACTGACTGATATCGCGTAAAATGTAATTTTAACCACACCTCTAGGCGGGGGCACATTTCGGCCGCTTCATTGCAAAAAATACGTCCACGCGACGTCGTTCCTTCAAAAATTTATATTTTGGCAGCGTACTGTAAGTTGACAAAAAAAATAATTTCTAAATGGCTATTAACCTTTAGGCATTTTATTCGTACTACTTGTTTTGATATTTTATGAGGGATCAGTCACTTGACACCTTTGCCTTAACTCGGGTTATGATTGTACTTCCACCATGTAGTCATGCCCGGATGATCCACAATGGAAGACTCTTTCACTGGCAAAACTGGATTCCAGGACTAGAAATGCATTTGAATCTCTTGAATACATGGATATAAACAACCGGTTTGTTCTGTAATCAGCACAATAGAGATAAAGATGGAATGTTGACTTTTCCACGGGGAAAGTTTGCGTTTTCTCGGTCTGGAGATTGATCCAATCTAAAGTGGACATTCAAGTTGTAACATGCTACATAGCTTCTCCGTCTTTCTGCTAATGTGTCTAGTGCTCGTTGTTGGCCCGTATCACAAAGCCTCGAATGGGATGCCCAGTTGCATTGAAATCACAAATAATCCAAAGACGACCGACATCAGGACGCATTGCGGATTCACCACTTCAGTGAGGACAGTAGACATTTTCCACAATTCTCATACATATCACGAAGGTGTCAACCGCAAAAGCATCTCAAAGGCAACCTTCCGCACTGAGAATGAGAATAAAATCGCCAAACATTTGTGCGTTTGTAGAAAAGGTAAATAGATTTCCGAAAGCCCCTCTTTATAGGATAACAAAAAATAAAAACGATTGTTCCTCCTGTGAATAAGAACTCAACTTCTGTGTTTCATGGATCTCCTGGTAAGATGTCATTCTGAAATGTAGGCCTCCTCCCTTATACATTACGGAAATGGGTTTGGGGATGGGGAATTGTGCTGGCCATCATGCGTGTCCACAGCTTGTAGTAGGGAACACTGACGTGAAAGCAGATTTGTGCAAGGAAGGACGCTGTTCACTCTTCAGATCTGACCAGCCGCATCCACCTCGGTTCTCTCCATCTAGTAGAGAAGTGGAGGAGGTGTCGCGACTTCGCATTGTCGATATCTTTATACAGGTACGGCAGGCAAGTCCGTAGCCAAGCCATTCGAGGTAGTTCACAGCTAGCGTTACTTCCGTTGTTGAAAGCTCTTCTCCAGAACACGGACTAGAACAATCGCTGAATGTAGACGTCATCTTCAGTGCCTCTGCTTAGAGCCATCACCGATTCTCTCATCCGTAGCACATGCATTTCTCCCGCCGAGCTAAGGTTTATCACCCAGCAGTAGGAATAGGAATAAATGTCCTAAAACACAAGGTTTGCATTCCGCTACCACCAAGGTAGAGCCTCGAGGCTTCCGTAAATAAAAAAGATGGAATAATACTCGGGCCGAATGCATATATTCAACTTAGCCCATTCATCTGTTACAAATTAGTCAATCCGCCTCTGTTCTTTTTCATTAAACAATTTTAAACCAAATGACCCATCTCTTATGCATCCCTCCTTCATCCATCCATCCGCCGATGTGACAATTTGAACTGTAAACGGGAGAAGTGGTAGAAGAAAACGTTAAAACGATTTTAGTCCAATTCTGGAAGTTGGATGCAGCAAAAGAGGAGAAGTGGAATGAAATTCCGCCGGAAACAGCTGATTTTGGAAGTCTGAATGATGGAAAATAATAATGGGAGGCATTAAACTGCAGCACAATAAAATTTATAAGGCTATGAAGATTTGTGCGTTTAACCTACCGGGGAATGTGGAGATGCCACACCTTCACCATCGTCAAAAGCAACCCGAGTGACTGAAGATTTAGAATCATATAATTCATTAAAAGTATAAACTTTTTAGTCCCACTTTAAAAAGAAGGACAATTTTAAAATTAAGACACAGTTGGTTGATACTAAAATAGGCTATTCCAAATTAAAACAACTATACTACTTATAAGGTTGCTTAAGTAGACTGCTATTAAAAGCAAATAAGGAAGGGGAGATTGCCCCCTCACATGTGATTATGCTGTCGAAATCCTCCACCTCGGTAGAGAACAGCCAGTATTCTTCATTAATTTCAGGTATTCCATAGCTTGTGTTGGTTTCTTCAAGTTCCTCCTCCTCTAGAGTGGTCGATGGAGGTGTGGGAGTTGAGGATTTATTGAAGAGGATGAGAAGGTGTATGTCTTGGCAGCTCTGGCTGTAAGCAACCGGAGCTTCTTTTAGGCAATCATTCTCCAAATAAAAGTCAGTCTGAGTTCCCCTGGAGCATCTTCTACCTGGCTTATGTGCGAATGCAATAATGGGACCCCTGAAAGTAATATAAGATTACCTACCCTTGAGGAAAAGGGACACGATATCCGTCAAAGTCCAAATCGTCCACCATACGTGGAAATTAAAACCAAGTAGATGATTGGACAGGATTAAAGTTATATAGGCAGTTAGTAAGACTAGAGAGTAATAGGAGAGTATTTTCATAGTAAGCAGATAATACTGAAAGAGCTCAACTGACTGACCCTCCGACTTGGTGGGTATCACTTGATCCACAATATGACAATCACCCGATCAGGTTGGGTTGCCATGGGCACGTGAGAAACTGACAGTACCTATACCCGCATCCCCAAAAATCACACTTTTTTGTAGTATGAAATTAGAATTGTAATAGGGGAATTATTCAGTTATTGGTGGACAAATGTAGTACTACTTTTCAATTTAAGTAGTTGAGTAATGGAGTGAGAAGTTTGCGTGCCAACACCATCACCACCACCGTCAGTCCTGACAAATATTTAGGCTTATTCTTCATAAAAATTAGATACTGAGTTGCTTTTGTCTTCGTCTTTTTTGATTTTTCCTTCACTGGGGTGAGCGACGGTAGTTACAAAATTGAATAGAGTTTGATTATCCATAAAAATGGAGACAAATAATTGTCCAAAATTGATGGATGCCGAGACGTCTGAGGGTTCCTACGTATGATGGGCTGGCCTCTGGGCCATGCCAGCAGCCCCAGGACCTTCAGTATGCTGAATGTATATACTCTGCTCCAGACTCATGTCTTCCTTTGTCTTTGAGAAAAATTTTGGGACGCTAAATTGGCGACCGCGGTAAGCAAACTCCTCATGTCTACTGCTGTGAAGAAGTGGGTAAGCCACGGAAGGGAGAGTTGATGACGGCTTACGATAGAAAGGCTGATATTGACGTCCACCTTCGCCAACTACCCCATTCCCGTATTCCGCAGGAAAGCTATTAACAACGAAAGCAACACCGCCAGCTAACAGTCTGAAAAAGCCTCGTTGCGGAGCTGTCCGCCTTACATGTATAAAGGCATAAATTTTGTGAGCTCGTGATACCTCCTCCACCTTTCCACTAGCTGAATGGAAGGCAGATAAATTTGTGATTAGGCAGCTCTGAACTGACAGCAACGACGCAAGATCAAATCCAACCTCCACAGAATTGCGTTAAATTTTAGGTCAGTGATCCTGCTTCTAGTTATGGACAAGCGTGGTGGCCAGCACGATTCTCAGTCCCCGAATCCATTTCCCATTCAGGCCAAATTTCCCAATCCATCTGAATTGCCAGAAGGGATCAGTAACGTTCCGATCATGTATCTCCTCAGTTGGCGCGTGGATGCTTTCCCTGCTGTACCGACTACCTTATGATGGCTGATTCAGGATGGCGCTCATAAGGGAAGAGGGCCACGTAGTACATTGTTTTCTTTTAACTCGCATTTTTAGTTGTGCACCACTTTGTGTCCTGGCCATTGTACTTGCGCCGGGTCGGCCCGTCTCTGGAGATTGGGACTTGTTATTCCTCCATCTAGTCAGCCTTCAAATGATCAGTTATGATCACTAAACTTCTCGGGTAATTCCGTTTAATTTTTCCCAAAGTTATTAGCCGACGCGTGCAGAGGTCATTAGTGATGTTCATGGGCATCGCAAATGTCATCAACGTCTTCCTTCGGTAGCCAGAGGACTGTATTGGCTGGAAAGCCTAGAGATCCACTTTTGAAAGGAAACCGTATAAAAGTCCCTATAACTTGGTGGAAGCTTGCAAGAATGAATCAGTGACCATTGAAAGCAAACAGGATAGAGAAAAGGGGATCTCACTCGACTTTTTATATAAAGCTAAGAGTCTCGGAATAACTGTGTTGGGTTTGGTGGACTTTTGCGGTGGTTATGAAGCGAACTTTACCAACTCCTAGACGGAATTGGTATCCGTGCCGCGAGGCTTCTCAACCACAATGTGCGAGCAAGCTTCGTGTCTGAACTGAATGGTTATTCATTCCTGCATAGCAGAGAGGTGGAGGAGACATCGCGAGTTCACCTAGTCGATGTCTTTATACAGGTACATAGGCAACTGATTCACGTCTATTGTCGTCTCCGTTTTTGACAACTTTTGTGCAGAACACAGGACTCGGGTAGACTTCGAAGGAAGGCGTCATTTTCAGCCCCTCTGTTATGGGTCGTCACGGAATCTCCCATCCCTAGCATATTCACCCCTTCTGCCTGGCCGGGGTTCACCATCCAGCAGTAGAAACGAGGATAGGATTCGCTTTCCGCCATCACCAATGTAGTTGTTTTATTACTTCCTACAAAGCCGCTTTAGCCTAAAATGATTTTAGGAATGTCTCTCTACTTTGATCCTCAATGTAGTCCAAGTTTTCAAATTGCGCTCGAAGTGTTATACAGTGTTTACTGCTTTTGTCCTGTTTTACGATAAAATTATGCGTCAATCTAGCGTCAGAGATGAGTCCAGGTCTTTGAGCACTGACTAATTTCTTACAGAAAAAAAATGATGTGCTTTGGACTGGTAATCACTGTCTGGAGAATTTGCACTAACGGATGGAATACGAGGAGTTATGAAAATGTCTTCACGATTAAATTAGACCCCTCACTCCCCGATGGATGACTATTCCTTTGCAGTACCTAACGATAAGACAGAACTTGAAGTCTTTTGCCATCGGAGAAAGAATTGAGTTAGTCAATTACTCCTGTTAGTACAGACTTTACGCCTACTAATCAGTATTGCGGCACTGCAGTCGCTTGCCTTAGAAGTGGCTATAAATCTCAAACTCCCGACTTGAAATGAACGCCGTCGATATCAGCAGCTAGATGGGTAAACAATTCTTGCCTTCAAATCCCTATCATAGCTGCATTTCTTGAAGAATCCTCTTTTTTCTTCACTGTCAGTGCCTGAAGCTCCTCTTGAAGTTTTGCTTCTCCTTTCCATACCACATATTCATCCCTAATTACTTTGTTATTTACTCGTTCCCTTAATCATCGCAATTCCTAGTCACTCATGCGCCGCTCAATCCATGTTATTTTTTTTTTAATTATCAAGTTATGTTTTCCTTTATACGCTTTTGCGTAGTAAAGTATGGAATATATGTCATGGGTTGACTTGATCATTCCCCACAGTTCGACCCATTTCTCTTCAACGCCTTGCAAAATTTGCCTCAAACTTGTCCAAAACAATGGTTCTCTTCTACGGTAACGTGCAAAAAAAGTTGTTGAAATGCGTTCCGCTTTGTAAATTGTCACGAACTTATGTTTGTGTGTGATTTTGCCTGGATTTCACAGAGGCCACCAGCCAGGTAGTCAGTGGACAAAGACTTCAGGACGTAGAGTTATGATGTGCGTGCAGTGGTATGATAACTGCATTCTGAAGACTACTGGACGCTAAATTACAGTCTGTGGCTGTCCGAGCCGTTCTGTCAGCTTTGAAGTATATTTTTATATTTATTTGAAAAATATTCTTAGCCAATCAGAAGGGAGTGAGTAAGAGGGTGAATTTTTTGAAAGTTTGGGAGTTACCTGCAACAAACGGTAACTTCTAAAAAAATCAAATAATGATGCGGACATCTACAGCACCTCCAAGTCCCATTTTCTCCTATCTAGTTGTAGCGCTTGCTCTTTAGACCCAAAGGGAACGTGTGATGGATCATGCGCGTGGAATTGGGCTGCTCACCAGTTCTTGAGTCGGTCCCTTACCAAAGATGTGAAGGTGGATGATGAGGCGACGCCAGAGCGATCCGAAAGATGACATGTAGAATGAAAAATAAGCGAAGGTGTTTGAGCGATTTGATTCACTGCTTAATCCATTAATTATGATGACAAGTTACTTAATTTCAGGACTTAATAAACAAACTTGAATTCCCCATTGGAACCTGTGCCTCGTTTACACAGAGACGTATGCAAAATGTTAAGATGAGAGATGACTTCTTCACACATTGTTGTGCACCACCTGTCCATGGTATTTTAAAGTCCTCAATACCCCGAAATGTATCCCCGTAGGAAGCGCCACTTTCCTACTCCTCCTTCTTCCAATTTGCTGCCTGGTGTACTGCAAGAGATGCTTCATAAGACGTGTAAATTTTTACCCAAAAATCTACTGATAGTTACCTTCTGCATAAACGTGGATACCGGGAGGAATGAGTGTCCCACTGCAGTAGTCAAAATGCATTTCATGACCCTCCTCTTTTTACACTTCTCCGTATCTCGTAACTATCAGTAAGGGTGACGGTGATTAGGATTACTCATGTGGCATTAAATTTAAAATGTTAGGTAATGATTTTGTCAATGGGATAACTCAGTAAGCTGACTGAAATGTGGAAAGGAGGTGAGGTGATACTTGGCCACCTCATGATGGAAATTCGGGATCTTGTCAAGTGACGCGCCTCCACCTTACTCGTTCTG